GTCCATGCATGTTTGGTGTCTCTTCTAAAGCAAATCAAGCGCGCCTTTTTGCTCGGGGGTTGTCACGGTTTATCTTCCCCCTTTCTGTTCCGTGGCAATCACTGTTCTGTTTCACAAAATCCTTCAGTGTTTCGAATGAACCGAGTGCCTTGACAGAGCAGTCACAGTCTTCCAAAAGCAAAGGGTGCGGACACTGCCGTGAAGGGTAGTCACTAATGTTCGCTTCTGTGGGCACTCTTGAAAACCAAAGCTTGGTGCACGACAAGGTTTCGCATTCCAAATGAAACTTCAAAAGAGCTTCAGCCCATGGCCCAGTTCCACAAGCCCGAATCAATGCAAATCTCACTGCATCGTTGTCGCCAAACCATACAGTCAATTGCCCTTTGAGTTTAGCTTTCCAAAACTCTAAGGCCAGTACAGCTGCTGCGAGTTCTAGTTCATAAATGATGGTATCTTTGCACAAAGATCCAAACACTGAACAGACATGCGGGTTCAAGGGCAGGCCGAACCATTGAACGCATTTCCCATTCTGGTCCACCAGTACAGCACCCAGTCCACCAGTGTGATCTTCCCGGTGATATGCAGCATCAGTGTACACGTACCACTGCTCTAGCTCAGCGTCATTGATCCCAATGGGCAAGCCAGATTCTAGCCGAGTTTTCATGGCAGTCAAAGCATGAATGGTGTCGATCTCAAGAGGCTTCTGTCTCGAATAAGCATGGTCAGTGAGTTTCTTGAGGATCAACTTGCCCAGGCGACCATGAACAAAGCTGTCTGCAAAACCCAACCTTCCACGGAGAACCAGCGCATCATGTTTCGCCAGCTCGCCTGCTTCCAAGGTTCGAGTAAGTGTGTTGATGAGGTCCAATCTTCGTTGTTCTGTGTTGCAAACCTGTAGGAGCCTGTGTTCAGACTGGTTCAAATTGAATTCAACACCCAGGGCTTGACACACAGATGAAAAGCTGGTAGCCTTCTTTCCGTCCCGGGCATATAGCCAGCCAGTCAACATGAACAACACTTCCATGGCATGACTTGCAGAGTTGGAACAACCAGGTCGTGACAGCATGACGAAGTCATCATAGAAGTTGGTGTTGATGAGGTAAAGAGCTCTGGCCGCCAGCGTGTGAAGCATCCTGGCCAGTCTAAGAAAGGCATATACAGAATGTGTCGCACCAAAAGGCAGGGTCATCAGCTGATAGATCTCCGCCTCGCCTTTGCAATGGTTGTACACACTAAAGTAGGAAAACTTGAGGTGTTCAGAGCAAATAGGCACCTGGCGGTATGCGCTCTTCAAATCAAAGGTCTTGCCCAGGAGTGAACTATCAAAGCCTCTTTCACGACACACTTTGAAATACTTTCTGACCGTGGCGCCCAAGGTGTCAATCATATGCAGATTTATTTTGGAATGTATCACACATGAATCATTGACGCCTGAGACCGAAAAATCATCGATCAGACGCACTTTGTTGGATTGCGCCAACGGAAACCTTCGAGAAATCACCGAACCAGGAGGCAGTTCTGCGAGCTTGTAGGGCCCGCGTGCCCAACCTCTCTCAACTTCTTCGAGTGTCTCCGCCAACAACCGTTTGTCGAGGTCAGCATCACCCGAAGAAGCAGTCATGGCCATAATGGCTTGATTTCGTCGGGCTGCACCTGCTTCTAGTTGCTCCACTGTCAACAAACAAGGTTTGAACTGTCGCTCAAAAATGTCACAGCTCTCCACCTCCCCAGCCAGCGTTGCTCCTTCCCTCAAAAGCTTCAGTACCTCAAGGTCCGGGTATTGGATACTCTCCAGCATTTCAAGAGTGAGGAGCAAGCGCTTGTTGCACGTGTTTTCTCTGACATGTGGTGGCCTCTTATCACGATCAGCCTTCTCTTTAACCTCCAGTTGACTTGCTCTCTTCAACCAATGTCTGCACCAATCGGACCTGTACTTTACGAGCTGCTCATCTGTCCATTGCATATGTCTATCCAGAGCAATGTCGAGGTCCTCCGGGACCCCCATATCTGCTAGGCCTGGATGCCCCAACTTGCAAGCCTTCTGGATGAAATTTTCGGGGGACCAAGGCAATCCAAACACTGCACGAAAAGGAAAACCATGAACCAAACACTCCGAAGCCTCTGACTCCTGCGGTTCACCCCCTTCAGAATTGGAGTTAGAGGCTGTGTAGAATCGAAGCAAGCGGGACTTTGCAGGGACAATGAGCTCCTGCAAAGAAGGTGAGGTCAAGGTCAACTCTTTGTCGGTCTTGGCCAGGAGGTTGTATGGAACTTCTCCTGGCGCTTTTACAAAGGCTGTTGCCACAGCATCAAAATCAGGAACCATGGGGGGAATTTTCTTTCGATATGGTTGTCCACCAGTCGAAATCATAGCTTGCTGAGTGCGAGAAAGAGGGTGCTGAGCGAGTTCATGAACCGTCTGCGGCAACAACTGTAGGCCCGAACATTGGGCTACTTGCAAAATCACATGCGTCACAGCAATGCAAAGTTTGCGGGGGTACTGGCTCTCCAGACTTGTAGCCCAGACCCTCTGTCCAGCTCGATCGACTGCGAATCTCCATGGCTCATGAGCATGTGAACCATCACATTCAATCGACAGCTCTTGGATGGACGCAAAGTTCGCAACAAATCTGGTCCATTTCGCTCGTGAGCCGCCATACATGCACACCTGAAAATCAGAACAGAAAAGCTCAAACTGTTTCCAGAGTGAAAGGAAAAACGTAGTGTTCCAAAAGTGCGAATTCTTCGGATTCTCGATTGTAGCCAAAATGCCTCTTTGAGTTGCTTTGGCCAAAATGCGACATGCAAATTCGAAAAGTTTGTTTGCGATCTCCACTCTGCGCAAATCACTCCCCTCCAGATGTGGAAGACCATCGGGGCGCTCACAACTACGCAGTGGCTTGGGATCGTTGGGACTACATTGGATGTCACGAGCCCTTGAGGCTGTCCCGCAGACTGGGGCCAGATGGATCCACAGCAGCATATCAGATTCGAGCCACTTGTCAACCAAAGCGCAATCAACCTCACGTGTCAAGTCAAGACGGATGACGCTGGCTCGTGCTCCTGGTTTCTGGACTTTGTCCACTGCCAAGCTGCCTTGCATTCCATATTGCTTTGCAATTGAACTAAGGATTGCTGACCCTGCGAAGATCTCTAACATCCAAGTTTGTCCCACATGCACACCAGCCCATGATCGCGGGCTGAGGAAAATTCGAGGTCACTTGCTGCCATGCTCATGGAGAGCATGCGACTGCTGGCACCTCGGCTCCGCACAAATGCGGTAACCTTTCTTGCAACGTTCACCTGGCTTGATGCCCTTCTCACTGCAACCTTGGCTGGTGTTGAAGGCGAAACAAATTGGCTCACCTTGTGCATTCTTGTGCCACTTTCCATGCAGCTCACGCGGCATTGCAGGGGTTCCTTTCGATCCCTTGCTGAAGCCTTTCTTTCCTTTGCCTTTGCTCTTGCCTCCCTTGTCATGGGAAGGTGCGGTGTAAGGTCCCGCACGCGGCTGCCATGAATCCCTTGTCTGAACAACAGGCTTTGCAACTGGGGCTAAGTAGAGAACGATGTAGGGGTCCTGTCGAAGACCTAACAAGGCCTCCCCAAATGGGTATGTGCCATCGTCCAATTGCCGGACACTGTTCAAGGTACTTGCCAACCTGCTCCAAGCTGCTCGGTCGCATTGCAGCATTTGTGCAAGGGAAGGTTTGTTGTACCCGGGTGGCGGCTCACGGTGCAGAGCCTCAAACAAGAAGGCACACCATTCTGAATGCTGCGCGTGACTCATGACTCTGGCAAATTGCAGAGCTATGCCCCTCCTCACCATGGCGTTGTGGAACTTTATCTCGCTGTCAGTCGGCGAACTCAAACTGTCTTGATGTTTCAAAACCAATGAGCCCTTCTCAAGGCTCAGCTCACGGGTTTGTTTGGTGCCTTGCACTTCATGGGTCCTGCTTACACAAGTAGCAGGCTCGAGGTACGTGACTACATTCTTTTCGTGGATTGCACATGCTTTGTCCAGCACAATGTGGGCTGGCTCAAGCTCACCTTTGATGCTCACGCCGGTCAATGCAGCCTTGATGGTGTTCATTCTTGCGTTCCTTTCAGCAAAAGCAATTTTTCGAGGCATGCTGTCATCGGTCTGCTCGATGTTCTGGCGAAGCGATGCAACAAGGTAAGTTTGAGCTTCGAAAGCGACTCGTTTCACAATGGCCACCTCTAGCAATGATGGCGCACGCCCCAAGGCGGTCTGCAAAAACCCGCTGACTTCATCATTTGAAAGGGCCTGATTAGGTTGGCCAATGGCAAACGCAAGGCGTGACAAAGTGTCTACACCTGCTGCTTTTACGGCATCGATGCTTGCTTGACTTAGGCCACTTTCGAGAAGTCTGGCTGCAAAGTGAGCAGCACTGTCCACAACACTTGTCATGGCTCCGCAGACTGGGCTCTCGAAACTGTATTACTAAATTGCACATGAGATTAAGTGAACAAGGAACAGTTGGAAACCACAAAAGATCACAGCGAGTGAATCGAAGATCAAGTAAAGCGATTCTCAATAAACAAGACAGCAAACGAAAGCAAAGTTTGCCTACCGTTTAGTTTGATCACATCAATGAAAGCGCAAACAAATCATGAAACAAATAAATCTTCCGGCCACATTGCCGGACTGCCCAGCTTGCTCCTTTGAGCCGTGATGCACTCCGCATCCACAAAATCTGCAATTGACACTCCGCCACATGCAGCTTTGTCATGCTTTCATAGCCACTCCGGCAAAACTTTTAACTCTTTAAAAACAAACAGGCACTCCGCCGTTCCAACTGGCACTCCGCCAATTTCTGTTTTCCATCCGATCATGGTAGCTTTCTCCCCTTTGGGGTGCTCAAACTTCGCTCTTGCCATCTGTGCTTCGAGCTGAGTTTATCTCGTGAACTCAAAAAGAATTCAAAGCCAGAAAACAATCAAATGTGCTGTCGTTTGGCTTTCCTGACACGTTCAAGTGCAGCATCTAAGGCTTCCGCAGCTTGCTCCCGGGTCCTGACCCTGTCTGGATCATTGGGGAAGCAACGCAAACACTTCGGGTACTTAAAAGTCAGTACACTGCCAAGCAGCTTGTAGTTGTTGTTTAGTTTGAGCTTACACTTGGTATGACTGGCTTCCGTCTCTGAGCAATGCACGCGTTGGCTCTTCACGTGCTTGTAGTAACTAAGTCCTTCAGGAATGAGCTCCTCGTAAGCAGGTCGCGAGTATGGCTCCTTCTGCAAAGGTTCACTCGAACTTGAATCTGAAGAACTGCTTTCACTCTCGCTTTCAGATGAGCTAGCAATTTCAATCATTCCAAGATCAAGGATCGAAGGGGGGAACAACGTCAAGTCCTCTGCAGCGTCGTGCATTCCAGACTCATGCTGAATCTCTTCCTTAGTGCTCTGCACGTCCTCCTGGTCATTTATCTCTTCAATGGCCTGCTCGACTGGGTCCGTGACCATCGTGGCCTGAACCACGGGGAAACATGGTGTCATAGCAGCGTTGCCATGCGCTGCTATTGGCACATTTGGTGTCCTGCCAGCCGGGGTGACTCCTGCCACCTGACCATTGTCTGCGATCTCCTCCAAGCCCATGCCAATCCTAACCAGTCGAAGTAACATCATCAGTTTCCTCATTGGTCGCACTTGAAGACTTCGTGAATAGACCACCTCGGAACCACTGATTGCACTGCAGTGGTGCCCCAGCACGGCACGTACTTCTTTGTCCAACCCCGCTCGAGCACACCAGGACAGCAGTGTGGCTTTCATGGAATGCGCACGGAAACTGGTGGCATCTTTTGAACCTTTCAACAACTCCTTCAACCAACATGAAGCCTCAGGCGTCGTGAGAGGTCGTGCACAAAACCCCCCCCCGATCTTGGGAGCGACAGCAGGGGGCCCAAAGGAACTCGGTGAATATCCAGCCCAACCTGCTCATAAAGCCCCAAGAATGTATGGAGCCAATTGTCACTTGTGACCCCTTCCCAGGGAACGAGCAAAGGAAGGTATTGCTCCCGTCGCTCTCCAATGCTTGAGGTCTTGTGTTCGCGTGTGAACAGAACTAGGCAACCGTTTCGCTTCGACTCAACCTCCACGTGATGGATGTACCTTAGGTCGCTCCACCTTGCTCTTGCATAGGTGCAAACAAGAAAACAGCCGGCTCCAATCCTATCAACAGGATTTGCATTGCTTTGCAAAATACTGTGCAGGCGCTGTAAATGTTCAAGTTCCATCGGGGGAGCTTGACGAGTGGGACCTTTCTCTCTCTTTTCCAGTGCTGCAAACCCTTGCAAGCGTCGTGAACAAAGGACTTCATCAGCTCCTCTTAAATCCACAGTGAACTTGCAGAATCTGACAGTCTCTAAGAACGCTGCAGGTGCCGTGTAGCCTCTGCCACCTGCAATTCGAGCCTCTTTCAAAGTTTTGAAGAATTCCCACACGTCAGGTTCCCGTAAAGGAAAAACAGGAAATGCTTCATTCTCAGCACCAAATTGGTTCCTATGCCAAAGTATGTATCGCTTCAATGCTCCAGCACGTTTCAACGATGTTGAATGACTCTTGATGCCAAACGAAGATCGAATAGTCTCATCAGCAGCTTTGCCCGTTGGGTCGCTCCTGAGGTCCAGACAAACCTGTACCCCTACAGCCGAGGCCTGCCAGTCAACAGAGAGAATATCCAACCACTTAGAACAGGCTAGTTGCAACTGTAGCTGCTTGTTGTCCATATAGTCCAAATCCTGTACGTTACTCACTGCATGTAAATACGCTGCGTCACCACACTCTGAGACTTCGCCACCAAGAACCATTGCAGAGGAAGGAGGGTCTTCAGGCACAGTTTCACTCAAGGGAATACCGTGGATTCTAGGCAGACTGAGTTGCTGACCTTGTCCCAAAAGCCCCTGCATGCTTGGCATCTCCCATGGAAGTCTCAAACTAGGATCTGGAAGCTTGTAGCGCTCAAAGCAATTAGTAACTGCAATTGACCAATCTACTTCATCCATTCGAAGTTGATTCGTTCCTGCAGCATCGTTTTGCGAAGGTGTTTGCAACTCCAGTTCGTCCTGATATCCTTCTTCTGGAAGTGCCGAACCAAAGAGGCTCATGGAATCTGCTCCTGTATCAGCCAAGTCAGGACCTGACAAAGGAGTTGCAGCCTGCAGGAAATTCGTGAAACTAAAACTCTCTTCCAAACACAAAGGTTCAAGTTCTGGCAGGTCCTCAACATCTGAATGGATCTCCTCTATATCAATATCCATGGCGAATACCGGGCTAGTCTAATCCCCCCTTGGCAGTTTTCGCAATCTTCATCTTGAAGATGCCCACCACTCCCGCCCTTTGCTTGAAATGTAAAATGACGGTATAAAGAATCACGAGACACCCGGAAATCAAAATTTCCTGAAACTTACATAGACAACACGATCACCAAAGGTGAGCTTAGTCATCATGAGCTAGCTATTTGCCACTAGAGAGCCATAGTGAGCATGTCGCGGATAAAGAACTGAAAATGTTGTTTGATGATCTTCCATCGGTTTTGCGTGCACCAGTGCAAGCCAAAGAACGCTTTGGAGCTGGAAAGCAGCACCCGCACCGGCAGAAACTTGACTGTGCAGTGTGCCGCGGGACGCCATGGATGGCACCTCACAAACCAAGCACCTTCTGAACGAATGCCATGTAAAGGCCCTCGTCGGCATAGGCTAAGACACCGGCATTCTGTAGATCCCCTGGCTGCATGGACATGCGCGATGTGACCTGGGCAGAAAAAATGTTGGCCTGAGCGAGGTGACATTCACCCTGACAGTAAGGATCGTACGCTTGGTCGGCCTGAACGCTGACTCAACTCTTGAAGTGTATAACTTTGCTTGGAACAAAGCTAGCGCCTGATGGCAACATGGTCTGCGCCTTACAACTTGCATCCAAATGACTGTCTTTATCGACTGTATCGCTCACTGATGTGCATTTCGCCCTCCGTGCAAATATCATCACAAGACGCAAAAGAGCACTCACGACTGGCCCGAAATGAGCCTGAAGCCAAAGCATGCAACAGCGCCGAAACGGAAAGAAGACGCTGCCAGCCAATTCGTTCTGTGAGGAGTGCGAGGCTATGAAGTCTTATGTTCGGGGCACGGCTTTCACAGCATGGGGCGAGGAGTTGATCCACTAGCGTTGATGACTTCTTGGGCGTGGAGCGAGGGCTGGTTGATTTCTTCGAGGAACAACCGACAAATCTTCAGCGTCACGCGGTGTATATGAGAGAGAGCATCTTGCCAAGCAAAGGGCTCAAAGACGTACCCAACATAATGGACGAGGACTTTCCGCAAGCTCCTCCCTCGAAACCATTTCATCTCTTGGAGCAGACATTCTTCAAGAGTGCTCTCGCAGCGCAATGGCTTGCCCGTTTGGCAGTTATCGCGGTGAAAAAGGGGATGCTTAAATTTTGCCCTTTGCGCGTGCCACAGGCACAAATGTGCTTTTGCGCATCCGTCCTTCCCGATTCCGTTGTGGCACGGCCACCAGGCCGCTATTTGGTGCGTTCCCGCTTCTTCCCAACAAATTTCCGCAATTTGAGAAGTGACCCTTCGCCAAGCTTTCCAGAATTGTTATATAGAATGTCCAACGGCATTGTTGAGGGAGGCGTAGTCGTAGACAAATGGTCAGAGTTGGCTTCTGCCAAACAATTTTGCATTCTTGTGCACAAGGATTTGCAAAATGCCGGAACCTTGTAATATAACGTATTATGGCCCACAGTGCATACGCCGCAGGGAGGGAATGTTTCCACTACCCAACGACAAGTAAAATTTCTAAACCATTCCTGGCCACAAACTGTTCTTCGCTGCCTCTGCCTGAGCGTTTGCAGCGATGGTGCTCCCCGGCGCCCCGATCATGGTCACCAGCTTCCTGGCAAATCAAACTCCGGAAACAATAAGTAATACAAAGCTCCTGCGGCGGGTCTTTCAGAATTGTTTCAAAAGTTGACGAGGAAAAGTAGAGACCACAGCAACTGCCAAACATCATCAAACAAAACAAACCCAGTGATAAGCCTGCCAGATTTTGCAACACCTTGGTCGAGTGCCCCAAAGATGTCCCAAAAGGTTTTGATATGTGTTGCCGGCATCACACAAATGCAGCACTCTGCGCATCAAACAACTGATCCAACCTAGCAGCCCTCGCCCAATCACATACACCTGCAATCCAATGAGTGCATGAGATCAGCCAAAAAATGTTGAACATAAAACGGGGTCCTTTGTTGCCCGTCAAGCCTGGAGACGGCGGCTCTCTGGAGCTCTGCCATGAGTTACCACGAGACAAGCCTCCACAACGTGCTGTTATTTTCGCTGGGGGAACGGCAAACCTTGGCACTGGCCTGACCCTCATCAAGCTCCCCACAACTGAGATTTTGATGCAAATGCTGCTTCAAGAATTAAAATCCGCCGGTTTTTCTGAGCCCGCAACTTTTCTGAGCTCAAATCCTGGGTTTCAAAACTGTTCACCCCATTCCAAAAACAATTCACCTGTGGGTCGGGGGAAACCACGCCACCGGACAAAGCTTGTGATTCAATTTCGAAAACGGTGACAACGGTGAGCCGAGAGGATGAGGTCAATCAAGCTGAGGCTGTTGAAAATTTCAAGTGCCGAATGCTACCATGCTCGGTGCATCTTGCCGCCCACCCCCTCGGGGCAGGCTGTCTGTCTGTCTGTCTGCCTGTCTGCCTGTCTGCCTGTCTGCCTGTCTGCCTGT